AGGTGATAGAAATAGCAAATATGAACAAGAACAAGCCTTTGAGGTCCTTTCAAAGGCACAAAGCCCTTCAGCCCCTCCTTCTTCCAAGCTTGCTTATCACACTTTTTAGATGGTTATTTTGAACTCAGAGCACAACTGATGTAGCAATACTATCTCCAAAGATGATGCTCCCTATGGGAGATTCTCTAAGCTCCCAAATTTTGGAGGCCTTCCCATGTTTACTTTGCCACACAGTTTATCACAAGGGATTGTGACAGGCCTTTGTGGGTTCACTACAAATCTCATCTTAAGAATAAGACTGTGTCTTCATAGTTGCATATCCCAGTGCCTGTAGACAGTTCTGAATATATGCCTGTTAAATGGATCACATATGCCAGTGATGGAAATGTTTTGTGATTTCTCCATGGCATATTCTGATTTGATCATGTGTAATGGCTTATTAACCATTGTTTTGACCACAATACATGGTATTTATAAAACTCCATTTAGGTCAACCACCATGTATTCAATACTTATTATGTGCAAAAGTTTATTAGAGATGTAAAAAATGATAAAGATGAAATCCCTCTCAAGTATTTTCTACATACACTCTGGTAGAAAAGCCTGGCATTTAAAGTACTAGAACAATACAGAAATATGAAAGCCCCCAGTGGCATTTACCAAAATCCTTACTGTGGTATCCCCTTCAGCCACACATTTACCAGGATCCATCCATCTTTTTGGACTCAAAGCCTCCAACTTAATGGTGTGCTGCTAAATGTTTAGGAAGTGGCTCTTGAAAAGCAAAATAAACAAATGTGATTTGTAGAATTTGCCAACTTCTCTGGTGCAAATGTTCCCTCTATGACCAATTTTAAATTAGCAATATAAAGTCTACCAGAAAACAAAATTGATGAAGTTTTAACAATGGACTTTCCTGGGTTTTGCTTCTTTATTTTGCTTCTTCTAAAACACACAGTGTTTTTTTAAATACAGGATCTCACTATGTTGCTCAGGTGTGTTCTTCAACTTGAACTCCTGGGCTCAAGCAATCTTCCTGCCTCAACCTCTGGAGTGCTGGATCTACAGGTGCAGGCAATCTTGCCTGGCATAATAATTGGTTCCCTTTTTTTGTGCTAAAACAATTGGCTTAAAACAATTGTTTCAAAATAGCAATTTGCTTTTGAGAGCAGGTTCAAATCAGCTCCAGCATACCACTGCTTCAAATACAGTATTTCTCTCCTGTAGTGAATTGAATTGTACCCCTAATTTATGTCTATGCAGAATCTCAGAATATGATCTCTGTTGGAAAGTCTTCCCAGATGTAATTAGTTAAGGATCTCAAGGTGAAATCATCCTAGATTTAGAGTGGTCCCTAAGTATCCAGTCATTGGTCTCCTTATAAGAAGAGGAGAGGATAGGAAAGGAAAGGAAAGGAAAGAAAGAGAAAGGGGAGGGAGCAGAAGGGTAGAGGAGGGGTAGGGAGAGAGAAGTGGAGGGAAGAGGAGGGGAAGAAGGTGGAGAGGAAAAGAAGGAGAGGGAAAGAGGGAGAATGGAGAGGACAAGGAATGGCGGGGGCAGCAGCCATGGGAAGACAGTAGCAGAGACTAGAAGAACACCTGAGGCTACTCAAAGTTGGAGAAGGCAAGAAAGGATTCTTCTCTAGAGCTTTCAGGACAGAATATGATCTTGCCTTGCTATACTTTGATTTCTGACTACTATCTGGAAGAAGTTTTAAAACATAAATTTTTGCTGTTTTAAGTCATCCAGCTGATGGCATTTTATTACAGCAGCTCTAAGAAACTAATACACCTCTCAAATTTGATGCTGGATAATCCTTTTGCATCCTTTAACCTGCAACTTAAATTTCATTTGCTCAGAGAAACCATTCCCAACTAAATCAGATCCCTCATAAATATTTTCATTGTATTCCCATTATGAGCTCCATGAGGGCAGGGAGCTGGTCCATCTTGTTCACTACTGTCTTCCCAATACCTGTCAGAGTTTCTGTGGCTATTCTGTTTTTGTTCTCACTCTGTCCTGAGCCTCCTCCTGCTTCATCATCTGCTCCTTCTCAGTCTCTTTAGCTGTTTCCTCTTCATTTCCTCAACCATTAAATATTAGAAGGTCCCATGGCTTAGTCCTCAGACCACTTCTCTTCATGTCCATTTACTTCTGAGGTTTCTTCTATTTCATAGTTTTTACTACTATCTATGTGCTGCCAAACCTTATGTTTATATCTCCTTATTATGATTGGGACCCAAATATCCCCCAAAGGCTCATTGTGCTGAAGATTTTTAATGCTGATGGACTTTTGGAAAGTGATTGGATTATGAAGGTGCTAACTCATAGATTAATACACTGATGGGATCATAATTTGATGGGATTACTGAGAAGTAATGAACACAAGAGGTGGGCCTAGTTGAAAGGAGTGAGCCATGGAGGTGTGACCTTGGGGACTATGTCTCATCCCTGGACCTTTCCACTTAAGCTCTTTTCCCTCTCTCTCTGCTTCCTGGACACCATGAGGTGGTCAGCTTTTCTCTGCCACATGCTCCTACCACCATGATGTTCTGCTTCACCATAGGGCCAAAGCAATGGGGCCAAGTGACCATGAACTGAAACCTCTGAAATTGTGAGCCCAAATAAATCATTTTTCCTTACATGTTGATTATCCCAGGTATTTGGTCACAGTGATGAAAAGCTGACTAACATACTTCCCTAACTACAAACTTGTCAAAGACCTACTTGAAAGCTCTACCTCTCTGTCTGTTAAAGTGTGTCTTAGTCTATTTTCTGCAATTATACCTGGATATCACAAACTGGATAATTTATAAAGAATAAAGCTTTGTTAAACTCAGGTTCTGTGTGGGTGTTTTTTTTTTTTGTTTTTTTTTTTTTTTGGTATCAGGGATCGAACTCGGGACCTTGCGCTTGTGAGGCAGGTAAACTCGGGTTCTGGAAGCTGGGTGTTCCAGGTCAAAAAGTCACATCTGCTGCTGGGGACTCTCTGCAGAGTCCTGAGGCAGTGAAAGGCATGGTTTGGTAAGAGGGTACACCCAAGAGACATTTATAACAAGTCTACTTTTAAAATAACACATGACTCCTTTAATTCATGAATCTATAAAAAACCTATAGTACTCTACCAAGAAATCTACAGTACTCTTAAAAAGGAGACTGAAGAGGACATCAGAAAATGGATAGATGTGCACTGTTCCTGGATAGGCAGAATCAATATTGTCAAAATGGCCACACTCTCAAAAATGTTATGTAGATTCAATGTGGTCCCAATCAAAATACAAACACCATATTTCACAGACCTAGGGAAAAATAATCCTAAAATTCATATGGACCAGAAGCGACTCAAAATAACAAAGACAATCTTGGGCAATAAGAGCAAAGCAGGATGTATCATATTACCTGATCTCAAGCTATACTACAAAGCAACAGTAATACAAACGGCATGGTACTGGAACAAAAACAGACATGTAGATCAATGGAACAGAATAGAGGTTACAGTAGTAACACTCCAAGACTCATTTAGCATATGATCTTTGACAAAGGGGCCAAAAACCCATGTTGGAGGAAAGGTAGTCAATTCAACAAATGGTGCTGAAAAAACTGGATATCTGTTTGCAGAAGATTGAAATCAGACCCATATCTTTCACCATGTACCAAACTAAAATCAAAATGGATCAAACATTAAGATCTAAACATTAACACAGAAACACTGAACCTACTGGATAACAAAATAAGTAAAACACTTGAACTCATAGGTGTAGGAAAGGATTTCCTAAATAGAGCCACAATTGCACAAGAAATAATATCAAGAATCAACAAATGGGTTTACATCAAATTAAAAAGCTTCTGCACAGCAAAGGTATCAATTAGTAAAGTGAAAAGATAACCTACAGAATGGGAAAAAATTTTGCCAGCTATTCCTCAGACAGAGGCCTAATATCTAAAATATATAAAGAACTCAAAAATATTAGATCACCTAAAACAAAAGACCCAATCAAGAAATGGGCAAGTGAAATGAACAGACACTTCTCTGAAGAAGAAATGCAAATGGCCAACAAATATATAAAAAAAAATGTTCAGCATTCTTGGCCATTAGGGAAATGCAAATTAAAACAATGCTAAGATTTCATCTTCCTCCAGAAAGAAATATAACAAAAAAAATAACAAATGCTGGTGTGGCTGTGGTGAAAAAGAAACCCTCCTACACTGTTGGTGGTAATGTAAACTAATACAACTGTTATACAAATTCTTCAAAGAACTAAACTTAGAAATTCTGTGTGACATAGCCATCTCCTTGCCAGGTATCTTCCTCAAAGAGTGAAAGACATCATACTATAGTGCATACCAGTGTTTATAGAAGCACAATTCATAGTAAATAAATTCTGGAAGCAACCTGTATACCCATTAACAGATGATTGGATAAAGAAAATGTGATATCTATACATAATGGAATACTATTTGGAAATAAAGGACAAATTTGAGACATTTCCAGGAAATAGATGCACCTGGAAAATAAAATGTTGAGTGAATTAAATCAGACACACAAGCTCAAATACCATATAGTATTTTTTTACTTCTTTTACTTCCTTTGTTAAGTTAATACCTTGGTATTTTACTTTTCTTTTTTATTAATTTTATTGGTATAATTCAGATATATATAATGATCACATTCATCATAGGAAATTTGTACCTGTACATACTATATCCCCTCCCCCCCATACCGGGGATTGAACTCAGGACCTTGTGCTTTCAAGGCAGGCATGGCACCACTGAGCTAAATCCCTGGCCCTGTACATGGTATATCTGGATTCCTCTTTTATCCCACTCCTCTCCTCTACCTTCAACTCCCTTTCCCCTTCTTATTTACAAAAGTTTTATTTCCATTTTTTCCTTCTTTATTGTTTTTTCTTTTCCCTTCCTTCTTTTCTCTCTCCCCCATTCCTAGTTCCCTTTAGTCAATGAAATTGCAAATGTAATTAAAAACTTACCAACAAAGAAAAGCCCAGGTCTGGATGGCTTCACTGCTGAATTCTACAAGAAATTTAGAGAAGATTTAGTCTCAGTTCTCTTCAAACTCTTTAATGAAATAGAAAGGGAAACAATACTCCAAAAATCATTTCTGGAAGCAAGTATTACCCTGATACCAAAACCAGAGAGGGACCTAACTAAAAAAGAAAACTACAGGCCAAGCTCCCTAATGAACATAGATGCAAAAATCCTCAATAAGATACTGGCAAGCAGAATGCAGCAAATAAGCAAGGAGATTAGACACCCTGACCAAGTAGGATTCATTGCAGGGATGCAGGGATGGTTCAACATACACAAAACAATAAAATATAATACACCGTATCAACAGAACCAAAGACAAAAATCATGAGATCATCTCAGTAGACATAGAAAAAGCTCTTGACAAAGTCCGAAACCCATTCATGATAAAATCCCTATAGAAAATCAGAATAGATGGTCTTTATCTCAATCTGATAAAAGCCAACTATGACAAACCAACAGACAACATACTACTAAATGGACAAAAACTGAAAGTTTTCACTCTAAAATTATTTTTCTTGGTGCTACCATGAATGGTATTGTTTCCATAATTTCCTTCTCATTGAGTTCATTATTACTTTACACAAATGATATTGGCTTTTGTGTTTGGTTTTGTATCCTACTACATTGCTGAAGTTGGTTATTAATTCTGTTTTTGGGGTGAAATTCTTTGGGTCTTCTATGTAGAGTATAATGTCATCTGCAAATAATAATAATTTGAGTTCTTTCCTATATGTATTCTCTGTATTTCCTTCTCTGCCTGATTGCTCTGGCTAATGTTTCAAGTACTATGTTGAAGAGAAGTGGTGATAGTGGGCATCCTTGTATTGCTCCTGATTTTAGAGGAAATGCTTTTAGTTCTTCCCATTGTTTTTTTTTCCAATTTGGTTGGAGTTTTATTAATTTAACTTTCTTTTTTGGTGACATGTAGAAACAGCCTTTAGTTTTTCCTTATTTAAGATGATGTTGACCCTATTTAAGATGATGCTGACCCTTTAAGATGATGATGTTAAGATGATGAAATAACTTTCATCAAATTCATGTATGATCCTTCTATACCTATTTTTTCAGAGTTCTTATAATGAAGGGGTGTTGGATTTTGTTGAAATTCTTTTCACATCTATTGATATGATCATGTGGTTTTTGCCCTTGCCTCTCTTTATGTGATATATTACATTTAATGATTCGCATATATCGAACTACTTTTGCATCTCTGGGATGAAACCTACTTGGTCATGATGTATGATCTTTTTGATGATGAGGTGCTTTCTATTTGCTAATGTCTTTTTGAGGACTTCTGCATCTATGTTCATTAAGGTGATTGGCCTGTAGTTTTTGTTTCATTTTGTTCTGTTTTGTTTTGTTTTTTAATTGGATCTTTATCTGGTTTTGGAATCAGAGTGATACTGGCTTCCATAAATGAATTTGGAAGCACTCTGTTCCTTTCAATTTCTTTGAAAAGTTTGAGGAGTATTGGTGACATAACATCTGTAAAGGTTTTGTAGAATTCAGCAGAGAATGCATCAGGTTCTGGGCTTTTTTTAGTGGGTAGATTCTTTATTATTGTGTCAATTTCATTCCTTGTTATTAGGTTGTTATTAGATTTTTCTTATTTTTGTGTCTTCTTGAGTTAGCTTTGATAATTTGTGTGAGTCTAGGAATTTGTCCATTTCTTCAAAATTTTTCAATTTATTGGAATACAATTTTCCTAATAGTTACTGTCTTCTGGATTTGATAGTGTCTGTTGTGATTTCACCTTTTTCATTTCTAACTGCATTGTTGTGAATCTTTTCTTTCTCTTGGTAAATTTGGCTAAGAGTTTATTTTGCTTATCCTTTTGAACAACCAGCTCTTGGATTGGTTGATACTTTGTAATTTTTGTTTAGTCTCAAATTCACTGATTTCCACTCTAATCTTTATGATCTCTCTTCTTAATTTTGGTTTTGGCCTGGATTGTTGGTGTTTCTCAAGCATCTTAAGGTTCCTCATGAGGATATTTATTTGAGCTCACTGTTTTTTTTAATGTAAGCATTGAGTGCAATAAACTTCTTAAGACTGCTTTTACGGTGTCCCAGAGGTTCTGGTGAGTTGTGCAGGTCTTGTCATTAACGTCCATAAATTTTTTAATTTCTTCTGTGATCCATTGCTTTTTCAGGAGTGAGTTATTAATTTTCCAGGTGCTTCTACTTTTTCCTTAGTTTCTTTTGTCACTGATTTCTAGTTTCATGGAACAGTGGTCTGATAGTACACATCTAGTGATTTTGATTCTTTTGTACTTACTTAAGCAGGCCTTGTGGACTAATATGTGATCTATTTTGGAGAAAGTACCACGTGTTGAAGAAAAGAATGTATATTCTGCTGTAGTGGGGTGGAATACTCTGTAGATATCTATTAAGTCCATGTGTTCAAGGATATGGTTCAGCTCTGATATTTCTTCATTGATTTTTGTTTAGTTGATCTATCTCTTTGCAAAAGTGGGGTGTTAAGATCCCCAACTATGATTTTTTAGTATTTATTAATCTTTTATATTCAACACTATTTATTTTATGAAGGTAGTTGCTCCAATTTTCAGTACATAAATATAAGTGTTATCTCTTCTTGTTGGATTTTCACTAGAATGTATTGACCTTCTTTGTCTTTTATAATCAGTTTTAATCTACTCCTGCTTGATTTGAGGTCCTGGTGCATGAAATATTGTTTTCTACCCTGCTATTTCTAGTCTATGAATATCTTTTTGGATGAGATGAGTGTCTTGAATGCAATGGACCACTGGATTCTGGTTTTTGATGCAGTCTGCCAATCTGTGTCTTTTAATTAGAGAGTTGAGACCATTAACATTGAGAGATATTATCAGTAATAATCTCAGCAATTATCTCAGGATAGGTTGATTATTTACTATCATTGCACTTTCTCTGTTGGTGACTCCTTCATTTTTCTTTTCCTGTCATTTGATTGTTGTTGTTTATCCATTGACCTTGCTTGGTGTTTTCATTTCATCTGGGTTTTCAGTTTTACTGGTTTCATCACTTTTGTCTGGGATATTCTTAAAGTATTGGTTTCATAGTTATATATCTCTTTAGATGGTCTTTTTCATGAAATGTCTTTATTTTCCCATCCATTTTGAAGGAAAGCTTTGTTGAGTATGTTATTCTGGGCTGGAAGTTACTTGCTCTTAGGGCTTGAAATACTTCACTCCAAGCTCTTTGGCCTTTAAGGTTTGTGTAAAAAGTCTGCTGTAATTCTAATGGGTTTGCCTTTGTATGTGATATTTTATTTTTCTCTGACTGGTTTAAAAATTCTGGGTTTTTTTGTTGGATATCTGGCAAATAATAAGGATATGTCTTGATGAGCTTCTTTTTTTAGCATAGTTGTTTGGTCTTCTGGAAGCCTCATTTACTTGTATGTTGAACTCTTTTCACATATTTGGAAAGTTTTCTGCTATGATTTCTGTAAACATATTAATAATTCCATCTGTGCTATCTTCTAACTTTTTTCCAACTCCAATTAGGCTTATGTCAGTCTTTTTAATGTCATCTAGTAGTTGCTGGATGGTATTTTCTTCTTCTTTCATTTTTTGTGTGGCTTCTTTGAGTACTTCATAATTTACCATTTTTCCTCAATTTCAGGCACTCTGTCTTCACACTGATCATTTCAGCAATTTATGAATTCTATATAGTTTTTATTTCAGGGTTTTATGTCTGATATCTTTTTGAGGGCTCTAAATCTTTGGTGAATTTGTCATTCATATTTTGAACCAATTTAGTTAACTCTTCCAATTTTTTACTTATTTCTCCAGTATCCACTTTGGGTAGTTTGAGTGATTTCCAAGAACTTTTGGTTCATTTCCTCTTGGAACTCATCTACTTTCTTCATCTTTTCTATAACCTTTTTGTAGAGTTCTGCTATCTAGTATTTGCTTTTCTCTTCATTTGTGCCCCCTTGAGCTTACGAGAGTTGGGAGACTTTGGGGGTTGTTTTGTTGCCTTGCTTTCCCATGTTCCCGTGTATACGTATATCAATTTTTATTGTTTATAATCCACAGGAAATCCAGATATTGGCATAGAGAGAAAGCCAGTTGTCATCCACTATTATGTTACCTTGGCTATAGTAGTGAACTCAATGGTACCAATGGCATCAACATCAACTGGATATTGACAAACTCTAGGAACCGCTCATAAACATCCCTTAATCAGAACAAAGAGGACTATGGTTCTAGTGAAGACCACCCACATACTGACCTGTAGTACTTATGGACTATTGATTTCAGCATGTAGGCACCAATGCCAGAGCTCAAAGATACCACTATGCCAGTGATAGCGAACTTTTTAGAGCTTTCGGTGATACAAACAGCCCTCTGCGGCACACATACAGTAAGTTTACCACCACTGCACTAGCCTGTCTTCTACAGGACTACCCCTTCTAACAATTTCATCCTCCAAACCTGGCCTCCCACAATACAGAATCAGGCATTGTGAATTTCCTGGTCTGATTCCAGGCCTCCTAGGAGATCCTCATTTAGCTCTTCCCCTCTAAGCCTGTCTCTCAAGGCTGTCTCTCACTCGGTCTTTGTGGTAGAGTAACACTCCAGTTCTGAAGCGAAGCTCTCCTCCTGGGTGTTGTTCTCTTCTTCAGTCAGGTCAGTCTGTTGGTTGTCACCTCTGTTGCCCAGTGCTGAGGAGACCTCAGGAACAAGGGCAGCAGTGGCTGGAGGTGGGGTGCATGGTCGTTCCCAGAGTGGGTCTTCTCTGGCTTGGTGCAAAGGCCCCAGGGTCAGCTGGGGACAGTGTGTTTTATTTCTTGATCTAGGTATAGGTTATAGATCCAGTCACTTTGTGAGCATTTGATAAATACTTTTTCATTAGAATGCTATAGTTCAATTAATTTTTGTGTGGGTGGATGGGAATTTAACTCAGGGTCTCACAAGTGCTAGGCAAGCACTGTACCACTAATCTATACCCCTAGCGCAATGATTATTTTCAAGGTACAAAATAATTAAGTTCAAAAAGTAAAGCCCTGACCTTTTCCTCTCACCTGTTCCTTGTACCTTCTTCCATATCTTGGTATCTGGCAACTCCATTCTTCTAGCTGATCAGGGCAGAAATACTACAGTCATCTTTGGCTTCTGACAGCCCATGTCCAATCCAGCAATTCTGCAGTTCTGCTTTTCCTTCAAAACATATCCGGAATATGACCACTTCTTACAATTTTCCAGTGCAAGCCAGCAAGCCTCCTCTCCTCCCTTCACCCACCCGCAATCTATTCTCAACATGCAGCTCTGTCACACCTCCTCTGTTCAAAACCTTCCAGTGACTTTACTTCCCACTCAGAGGAAAATTCCGAGTCCTTTCGTGGCTCCACCTTATCTCTTCTGTTTCCCCCCTCACTTACTCTGCATTGCTATCCTTGCTATTTCTCAAAAGGACCAAGCACAATCCTGCCTCAGGGCCTTTGTGCTTGTTCCCTCTGCTTGGAATGCTCTTCCTTCAAATACCTGGCTAGCTCATTCCCCCCCTTCTTTAAGAATATCACTTTTGCAGTGAGACTTTCTCCAACCACACAATGGAAATATTATCTCCCCTTTCCTTGGCACTCCTTAACTCCCTTATTTTGCTTCATCTTCCTCCCAATATCTACTCAGTTGTTATCTATTGTACATCTAGGAGACTATAATCTCTAGGAGACAGAGACTTTTTCCATTTTGTTCACTGTTCTATTTTGAGGCCTAGATCAGTGCCAGGCACATAGTAGGTGCTCAATAAATAAATGAACTCAGATGGCAGATTAAACCTAGTGCCAAAACACATGTATAATGAAACAGCCTTGAGAACATTGAAAAGGAATTTATTGTGATATCTATGAAGAGATAGAAACAATGCCTCACAAAAGAACTAATATTTGTAAACAGTCATGTAGCTGGGCATGATGGCATATACCTATAATCCTTGTACTTGGAAGGCTGAAGCAGGAGGATCATGAGTTCAAGACCAGCCTTGGTTACATAGCAAGTTTGAGGCCAGCCCGCACTAAATAGTGAGACCCTGGATCCAGAAAGAAAGGAAGAGGAAGAGATAGAGGTAGAGGGAAGAGGAGGGAGGGGGGTCATGTGAAATGAATAGGATGTCCATTCTCTGAAAAAGAATAACGGGCATTCTTCAATTCCTATATAACCAAAAATAATCTATTATTACCTGAAAATAAAATCTCAAAATAAATAAAAATAATGAAACCAATTGTAAATCAGATTGTGGGACTAGTTGAGAATACAGGACAAAATTTATGATGGATTAAATCATCTCAAGAAATCTCTCTCTCTCTCTCTCTGGCACTGAGGAATTCAGAGATTGCTGAACTACATGCCTAGCCCCTTTTTTAAAATTTTATTTTTTGAGACATTCTTGCTAAATTGCCTAGGCCAGTCTTGAACTCATGACCTCCCTGCCTCAGCCTCCCAAGTGCAACAATTATAGGCATGTGCCACCACACTCAACTACATGACTGTTTAGAAATGCTATTTCTTTTGCAAATCATTATTGGTTTCTACCTCTCCACAGATATCAGAATAAATTTCTTCCTTTCCAGTATTCTCAAAGTTGTTACAAGTGTGGGCTACCATGTCTAGCTTCAAGAAATATATCATTCTTAATGGAATGTTTTTTTAAATATTTCTTTTTTGGGGGGGAGTACCAGGAATTGAACTCAGGGCCTCGAGCTTGCCAGGCAACTACTGTGTTTTTTGTTTTTTTGAGACAGGGTCTCACTACATAGTTCAGACTGGCCTTGAACTCACTATGTAGCCCCAGCCTCCGGAGTGCTGGGATTATAGGTGTGTGCCATCACACCCATCCTGGAATCTGTTTAAGGGTAAAGAATTAACAATCATCCCTTCAAATAGATGTGTTAAAATTAGATCACCAATGCCTCTTAAACCTTAGTTCATAAACCTGCCTCAATCTGGTTTCAGTTGAGTCTATATTCATGGTTACAGGAAAGCAAGTTTTTTGACTACTGGCTTGAATAGTAGGTTCTTATAATAAAATGAGATTAACTTTAAAATATCAAGAACATTTTTAAATATGTCTGCTCTACTAAGATAAGATTTCTAAACCTAACACTATAAAAGCCTCAAAACTGATTTCTTTCATTGTATGTGTTTTATGCTATACAACATATAAATAACAGAGAAGAAAATGAAATTTCAACATTTCTTTATTAAACTACTAGGAAAAAGGGAAAAATACAATATTAAATAGCTCTAAAGTAAACCACATTTGATAAATGTGTCACCTCAAAATTTAACACTACTGGGGGTCAAAGGTGTGAAAGTATAGCAAACTCACTTGGAAGACAAAGTCCTACATTCCAATGCTCTTTTGCCACCTATTACTTTGGGCAAGTCACTGAGCCTCATTTGATCTATGCTATTTACAAAGTCAATTCCTGCAGTCATGTTCTATCTGTAGGAGGTAATGCATTTGGAATTAAATCAAGCAGTTATTACGGAAGCTTAAATGTTTTGAAATGCTGGTGCAGAAAATCACCGCAGAAAATCACACACTTTCCCAAGGTAATTTGAGATTCAAGAGGAAGTTATTTTAATTGGTACAGATTCTGATGTTGGCGTGCCTATGACCTTACACCGTGGGCCATTGTTTTCCCTTCTATATTCTTCCCACAAGGAACCATGGAATGTTCCCATCTCTCGTTCAAGCTTTTAAATAATCTATTTATAAACCAGGTAAATAGGTTGTGAATCCAAGAACCACTATAAGATCCAAATAAATGATATAAGCCTACACTCAGTGAAGTCAAAGCAAAAACATGAGCTATTTTTCTCTTAATTCACTTTCATATGACAACAGAAGGAGACAAAAGTACTTCTTCATGTTAAGTCCCTACAGAGTTCCTTCCACAAAACTGTGCTTCCTGTAAATTAAACAGGTCTGTGTTTTAATGAATTCGTGGCATATGGGCCATAATAATCAAAGTATGGAATCAAGCATAGAGTTATTATTTCAAGTTGACACTTACTGTTCCTCTTTCCTTCGGCTTACAGGACAGCACATGCAGTGGCCTGAAACCTGACCTCAGACACTGGTCTTTGTGTGACCCAGGAGCCTAGCCTAGGACAGTTTGCTTACATACATTTATGAATCATGCAGCTATCACTTTCCCCTGTCACAGCTGGTTAACCTTGGGGAATTACCATGGGAATGCTCTTGCCCCATCAAGCATTCTCGAGATCCAGCACAGATACCATGTACCTGCCCAAGTGGAGCTTCTAAGAAACTGCTGCTCTTTTCTCCTCAAGCCTCTGTCGAGAGGCAGCTTTGTGAATCTCCCAAGCATTCCAAGACTTGCACATCTGCAATGAATTTCAAACCCAGGAGACCTACTTGCTAGCTTTCCCAATGTTTAGATTTGAACTGGGATCTTTGAAACCTAGAGGTTTCCTCTTTGTTATATTACTTTGGGAATTTCAAGTATTTTAACCCAGGTGTATTGTGGAGTTAGGTCTAACACAGAGTGAAAGAGCTTCCTGAATGCCAGGGAACCCAGGGCCTTGCTGGTGGCTTCAACATGCTGATGCCTCATGCCAGTCATGCTTCTGGAGAGCTGTCGTGCAAAAGAAAACCCTGAAGATCTACACTCTCTTGCCATTGCCTGGGTCTGGAAATACCCGACAAACTTGAAGTTTTTTGTTGTTTGAGTTAAGAATGTGCTTGGAAAAGTACATCCTTCAGCTCTCAGGCAGACTGATGTAGGCTCTAAATAGCTCTCATGACAATCTGTCTCAGAAAAGAATACATTTCAAAGAAAGATTCAAGGATTCCATTTTAAAGAGTTCTTCTTAGCCAGCAAGAATTGCACACATAAGATATTAAGGAGGAAGAGCGTGGGGGAAAACTTCCTTTAAAGGCACTTCTGAGAAACTCAATTTAAGGACCTTAAAAATCACCACTATCCATTGCAAACAGAGTTTTTCCTAGAGAAGAGAAAGTCTGGCTTTGGAGGAACTTCAATTCACTTTAGGAACAAGCCACAAATATTAATATCAGTGGCATAGGTTTTACTTCACCTCACTGGCATCAGTTGGCGTAACTTTCACTGCGAATTGAATGCCCATAACAAATCCTCAGTGGCAACTTTCTCAGCAAGTTGGATCAAGTAGATCCTCAGGATACCAGGTACCACTTCCACATACTCAAGACAACTCTGGAAGGCCCTGTTAAAGACAGAACATGTTGATCAGGCCATTTTTACAACCACAGACTTTCATTGCTACCTGAATCAACAAGGCTTTTTGGAAATCAGAGGTAAAAATTCAGGTCAGAAGGAGAGCTCTTTGTCCACAGATAAGTATCCAACAACTGTGGGCCACCAGGACTGAGGGATAATGGACTATGAGCTTCTCTCCTCACAGAGAAGACAACAAACCAAATAATTTTCTTCCCTTGTGATAGAGACTTTAAGAACACTATCTTGCCACTCAAGTTTGTCAGCGAAAAGAAATTGAAGATAGTTCATGGATAAAGATGGGCTTGCGGGGAGAAAGAGAAGATATGAGTAGACATAGCAGGATGAACACATGAAAAAACATTAAAGTACTTATTCCAGAACTATTTCTACTTATGTCAAGTTTCTCTACTCTAAAGTTGGGCAGTGAGAAATCATTCAAAAGTAAAAAAATGACCTACTCCCCACCAGATCATAAATTCCAGGAAATGCCAGGTGCTTTGATTATTATGGCCCATATGCCACGAATTCATTAAAACACAGACCTGTTTAATTTACAGGAAGCACAGTTTTGTGGAATGAGCAACAGACTGAGCCCTGGCTTGACTGTTCTCTTTTAAGTGATGCTAGGCAATTTGCTTAACCTTTCTCTGGGTTCTAACTCTCCAACTGTAAGAAGGACTAGAGAGAGGGAGAGAGGAGAGAGATGGGGCAAGGGGAGGGGAGAGGAGAGGAGAGAGGAAGAGGAAAAAAATTCTCCACTTCTGCTTGTTATTCAAAGATGCTGTGGGAGTTGATGAATAGCATCTTATCATGCTGAGAAGTTTCTGGAAGCCATTTACCTTTATGCCTCAACATTGGGTACTGACGATGTAAGGTGTGTATATCTCAGAGCTGCACGCCTGGAGCTTGGCCATATCCTCATTGCACCCCACAGTGCCTGGGATGTTGATGGAGGTTTGCACTTCAAACTTCCTCCTTCAGCAAGTCCCATTTGCAAATGATGGTTCATTGGTATTCTCTGATGTTCCTTGAGTAGGAGGTAGGAGCTGGCTGCTTATTTTAAAAATAATTTCCTAAGAAGGATTTTTTAAAATATATCAAAGCATCTTAACTGGGGGAAAGAAGGGGAAGAGAAATATCTCATTCCATTATAAATGAATTGATTCATTTACTAATTCTGCAAACATTCACGCTACAGCTCCAATGTGCTGGAAACTCTGCTAGGCTCTGGGGATGCAAAGTCAAGTGAGGCGGGGCTTTGACCTGGGGAGCTATGATCTCACAGGAGAGCAAGATTAACAAGTCTAGGATCCTAGTAGGTACTGTGCTTTGGGTAAGTTCTGTACTACAGGAACCCATTGCAGCTATGTCTACACTGTACTGGGGTCTCCAGAATGGGCTGTGCTTTGAGCTGGATTGTAAGGACACATAGGAATCAGATGGAGAAGAAAAAAAGGTATTCTCAGCAGAGAGGCCAGCATCTGAAAACACAGGCATGAAATAGCTTTTCTACATAGAGAAATAATAAATGCGGTCATGTCTGAGGAGCACCTAAAGGCATTAAAAACATTAATACAGGGCTAGAAGTGAAGCACTTGCCTAGCATGGGAGGCCCTGGGTGAGATCCCTAGCACCCCCACAGACACACAAACACATATGCACACACAGGTGCGTGCGCGCGTGCACACACACACACACACCACACAGCTATGGAAACAAACAGGGAGCGTTAAAGAGCTATAGATAGGCAGCTAGTGGTGCCGGCACAAATGCTCATTTCGTCCAGGAGGCTCTGATACTTGGGCTGCTGGGGAACAGACACTCTCTCCCTCTGCCACCTCACCTTTCACCCTCCAACCTCAAACTACAGTTCCTGCCCCAGCACCATGTAGATAAAGAGAACATGATTGTGTCAGATACACTTTTCCCAGAATCATCATTTTCTTTTTATCTCCTCTCTTCCCCTCCTTTCCTCTCCCCTTGCCTCTGTTTCTTACTGGGGATTGAATTTAGGACCTTTGTATTGAGCTTCTCCAGCCTTTTTTTATTTTTTATTTTGAGACAGGATCTCACAAGTCATCAAATTGCCCAGGCTGGGCTCAAATTCACAATCCTTCTGCCTTAACCTCCCACAGTGTGTGTACCACCAGGTCCAGCTAGAATCACTGATTTGACAAGGTGCTGTAAGATGTCAGGAATGGGAATCAAGTCTAGATTCATGAGTGTAGAGCTACAGAAAAGGTGCAGTTCCATTGGAAAGTGTGAGCACCTTTAACTAAAAAGACACAGTCCCCTCAGGATAAGGCCATCTGAGAGTTTAGAGATTGTGCTTTGACGAGTTGGAGCAGCTGTCTTCTGAGAACACTAAGGACCATCAAACAAAAAAAGTTTTGAGACAGTCTCACTATGTAGTCCAGGCTGTCCTTGAATTTGCTAAATTGCCCAGGTTGGTCTCAAATTCACGATCTTCCTGCCTCAGCTTCACGAGTGCTGGGACTACAGGTGTACACCACTGCACCCTGCTTTCAATCAGTATTTTGTGAATTCTCACTACGTGCCAGGCACTTGTCCAAGGATATCCTGATGGCTTGAGAAACAGTCCTGTGTTCACAATGACCTCCAAGAAATCAGCCATTAAAAACGTAAAACACAAGTTTTTATGAAACTTTTACCAATCCTTGAGATTTCTGGTGTTGATATTTTAAGAACAGTCATTTCTCCCAGTTTGACAGTCTTGAAAAGACAGAGCTAAGAGGACCACATGGATGGTCTCTCTCCATTTGTACAGGTCCAGGAAACAAAGCTCAGAAAAGCCAGGTGTCTGCTGCCCCCTTGTGGTTATAGTCATCCTTCACTTTCAGCAATCATATGAAAGAACTGTACATTTCATACACCAACACCAGTAGAAATGTGAAATTAAAGATTTTGGTGACACAGGGGAAGCAAAAAGGATTATATGTGCCATCTCTCCACAATGAACATATTAATTATGTATTGAAAACATGCACTAATGAAAAATTTTTTTAAAGGAACTCCGGTGAATAAGGCCACAATTTTTTGTAAGACATTGCTCTTTTTTTCTGGGTCACTAAAAAATGTTATAATAAAAATTGAAATATATTAAATCTTTCCAGGACACCCTAGAAGATCCCAGTAGTAAACTCTGGTTTATCCATTTTGAATTGAAGGTCCTTGTTTAGCACTTTAAACTCTTAAGTTTCTGTGAAGTCCAAACTGTTAAAACGGTTCATTTCCAGGAAGTCATAAACAAATTCTGGTAACTAGGTTAAATCAATGTCTTGTTCATGTACTATGAGAAGTGTGAAGAATTTCAACCAACTTTCAAATTGTTTTTTTGTTTGTTTGGTTGGTTTTGGGGTGTTCTCTTTTTAGATCTTCAACTACTTCTCCATCTTACACACACTCCTAAAAATCTGTCACAGAATAAGCTTAGCCAAGCAAATATATTTTTCCTTCTCTACACATAGGCTAACAACTACTGAATCAAATGCTATCCTCATATTTGTTTCCTCTTTTCTGAAATATTTACATTATTCACTTTATGAGAAACAGAGGAGAGGAGAGGAGAGGAGAGCAGAGGAGAGGAGAGGAGAGGAGAGGAGAGGAGAGGAGACTGATTCTTAATGAGAGGACAGTAATTCAGGACACCACCTTTTCCAAGAAGAATTTTGGATTTTGAGATTTTGAGATTGGGCATGAAATATAATGAGAAAGGAAACTATAACACACTGAATATATGCTTATAAATGTAAGCTAAAAACACTACATTTGTTTATAGATATGTCTCGTCTCTTCTGTTGAATACCAGGCACCTTACACCGTGTGGGTAAAAATGATCCCTGTGTTGACTTTCTAAAAACAAATTTATAGGGCCTGGGATTTAGCTCAGTGGTGCTGCTGCCTGTCTCGCAAGTGCAACGTCCTGAGTTCGATCCCCGATACCAAAGAAATAAAACAAAACAAAACAAAAAAACAGAAACAGTTTTATAAAGGAAAAATTCAACTACTTAGAGTTTACAGTTTAATGATTTTTAGTAAGTTTATAGTGCTACAACAGTAGCAATATAATACAGTTTAAGAATATTTCTATTATTCCAAAAAGGATCTTGCATGCTGCTTGTAATTGTTACTCTCACTCTCAGATCCAGGCAGCCATTAAATTGTTTTCTGCCCCTATAGATTTCTCTATTTTGAATATTTCATATAAATGGAATGTGGGCTTTTGCTTCTGGCTTCTTTCCTTCACATAATGTTCTGAAGTTCATCCATGTTATAGCATATATCAACATTTCATTCCTATTTACAGCCAGATAAGTTCTAATGATATTGTATTTTACGGATATAACATATATGGCTTATCAATTTATCAGTTGATGGACATTTGGATTTTTTCTACTTTTTGGCTATTACAAATAATGTTTCCAGTGCCACGGAGGGGGCTTCTGGGCCACCATACGACTGCTCCCAGTGCCAAGGAGGTGAGCCACATGGGTGCCAGCAGCACACACCCCTCCCCCAGCCAGGTTGAAAGGAGAAGACACATAAATAAACCCCCAAACCAGACGCCCAGAACACCTACAGCAACCCCAAATGGGAACGAGATGGAATAATCTGATACTCAAGCACCTGGAATCCCTGAACTGGCAACAAAAGAGGATCTGGAAAAAAATGAAATCAGAAATACTTTCTCACATAACAGCAGAGATTGTGCCCATAGTGCAAGACATGATTAATAAATCTAGAGAGAACACAGATTAAAAAAATAGAGGAGCTGAG